CATCAGCTCGTGAGCTACAATACAGCAGTATCCCACCACTGACCTCAAACATCAGCTGTAGACAAAACTAAAGCAGGCACAGAATAAAAATCATCCTCTTATGTTCCCATGAGGGCCCTAACACCACCTTGAACTCAACAGAAGACTGTGTGAAGCCTTGCCAAGCCTGCGAACATGACCTGGGCAGTGTGTGTGAAGGGTGGGGAGGTGGGCGGGAGGAGGCAGAGGATGGAGGGTAGATGAAGGGGATGCTGCTCCCTCCATCACAGACAAGACAAATGATGCACGGACAGATGGCACTTGACATTGCTGCCATGTTCAGTTAGTTTCCAGTTACAACAACCTGACTTTGAATCAGCGGATGCTTCTGTCATGCAATAAATCATACTGTGTGCTGACCACTGAATGATCTTTGCCACAACAGGACCTCCACCATGGTCATTCTTATAATAAAAATCCCCATGTTCATAATCATGAAAGCACATGGACAATGGATTAAGCCAAAAAGTTTGGCTGTGTTCGTGTAATGGCCACATGGTGGTGGTGTAACTCAAAAGGGAGTGGTGGAGAGGGCCAAGGGCCCAGATTTAACTCATCGGCTATGAACCACATCAGTCATGTCTAAATAGGAGTCAGTTCATGATATCTCCACTCTAGTTACTGATCATCCAGAGACACAGCGTGAGAATGTAGTAGCCAAGGCCTGACCTTGGGCTGAAAGCAAATTGGACAGTATCAACCATTAACTGATATGTGGGGGAATAAGAGTATAAGTATACGATAAGTATACTGGGAGATATGATATGAACTCTTCAAAAGAAAGATGGAAAAACTGTTGGGGATATGACTTTACAATGTATGTCTGCTGGGTCACACAAGGGCTGTGGTGTTTGGTGTTATAATGTGACCTCAATGGGAATTGGTTAAAGGTTTAGGTTTCATTTTGAAGGTAATTCAAGTCCAGTGAGTATTTATGGTATGTTAACTTGTAATTTGTTATTATCATTAAGGTGTAGGTCAAACTGAAGCTGCTCGAATGACAGGAAGTGACAGGTAGGACACTTTTTTTTATTGTTTAAATTAACAATTTTAAATTGATGCTAATTAGTCTGCATGAAAATCTGACTTATTTCCTCAGAATTATTCAGGTTTTTCAGTCATTCTGTCACATCAGTCAAATTATTCAAAAATAGATTAATCCAATTTCTTTTTTTGTGACTAACTGTTGTATTCTATTTACCTCAACACATCAACAAGTAACATCTGTCAATAACATAACGTATAGACATACTAGGGCATTAAAAGACAGGTAATTAACAAAAGCAAAGTATAAAATCAATATGTTTTTCCCTTTCTCTTAGTAATTTCATAAGTTCATGTTTTAGCCACAGTACAGTCAAACCATAAAGAGATGAAAGGTTACAGCAATTCAGCAGATTAATCCTATTTTTAAATGAATTTAATTTCAAAATATAATTATTTTAGAACAGGCTGTTAATATTTTCATTTTTATCACTGCTGCATTTCAACATTCCCATTTGGTCTCTCGGATATAGATTATATTCAGTCTGGAGCATTGATCTATGAGTTCACATTAACTACTGCATTGATGGAGTTTGTTGAATTGCTGCATTCTCCCTATAATACTCTGGGATTCCTCTTTTTGAATCCTTTAAATATAAAATAATTTCCATAGGACTGAAAACCTTAATGTCTAAATAATATAATAAATTGCTCTGATGTCATTTTAAACTCCAGAGAGGAAAGCTGCCCTCTAAAACTTTCTAAAGTAGCCTTCATGACGCCTACAGATTGTAAAGAGACAGTGGTATTTTTCTCTTATCTAGATTATGCCTGCATGAGAACGCAGCAGCCAGACTCTTACTATATCCAAACAGCAACATAGCAGATCTCTGCTTTGAGTGGTTTTCAATGAAGTTTAGAGTTTTTACAGATTTCAACATCACAGATCTTGTAACTCTGTGTGAACCAGGGTGTGTTGTAAGACCCTCAAACAGGCACTTTTGGCCGTCCCAGTTTTAGATTTAAGGCACCAGGAATGGGCTTCTTCTTTTAGAGCCTTCCCGGTGAGGCCAGTTCATTGTGTCCTCCTTTAAATTTAATTTATTTAAGTAAAAATGTTTAGATTTTTATTTATTTATTATTTATTCTAATGGATTATTATATGTATTAACATATTTGTGTATCTGTGTGTCTGTGTGTACATTTATGTACATTGTTGTTTATATATATGTACATATATGCAGTTAAATACTAAAACATATGAGTGTGTGTTTATTTATAGGTTTGCACATGTGTATATAAATTATATGCATTGATGTATTCATGTATCTGTGAATATATTTCACTAGAGTTATTTCAGGTTTCTTTTCTAATGCGTTTAATGTTTCATTTTTATTTTATAGTTATTTTATACTAGCAACATGTTACCATTTGTAGTTTTTTTCATCTAAGCTTCTCAACAGTGTATCAGGGGTTGAAAGTCACTACATATACTCATGTATTGTTCATTTTTAGGCACTTTTCAATTCAAAATTAGACACCTTACATGATAAATTATGAGGTAAAACAGTCATAATAAGTTATGTAGTTACAACTAACGCTAATTTATAATTGTAAACTTTTACACATGCAAAGTTTTGAATGTAAGCACTGTGATATTGCCAGAAGATTTTAGATAAGCCTACTCTGTCCTCCACTGCAACGCACTGACATGTTGAACAGACTAATGGGGCTAACCTCTTTGTGGAGAAAGTGTAAAATGTTTACTGTGTCATTCTTAACCGGATTATATCCTAATGAGCCTGTTGTCTCACTAAACAGTTAATGGATCTAAAGCACCAAAAGGCCTCCAGGACACAGAATACCAGTCCACATTTATGCAAGAGACAAACATTTTAATTTGGGTCACACACACGCAGACACGCGCACACACACACACGCAGACACGCAGACACACACACACACAGAGAGAGAGAGGGGCTTCCGACATGCAACCCTCAAAATACCCACACATTCGTGCAGCGGAAGTTTTTAAGCAACCTTATCTGCAGCTTTATCTGAGTTGGAGATGTGCTGCAGAAAGACAGGTCAAAGGGGACCGCAGGGCTGCTGCAGGACGAAGCATTAGGGATATGAAACACATGCCAGACCTGTCATGTTCAATTTACAGTTGACTCAATAGTTTACTATCCGGTAGAACTGAGGACGCGTGTAATTCGCTGGGTGATTCATCATCCCGCAGGATAAATCGTTTGAATTTTGAATTATTTCTTTTTGCAATTAAGGAATATATAGTAAAACAGAGAAACATACATTCAAACCGCGCAAGGCCAGTGCGAATCAATCATGATGAAAACATTTTCCCATGTCTTCCCCTCCACCCCACCCACCCGCGTTTACTTTATTTCTCCAATTATTACAGCAAGAGCCGGGCCAGTGTTGACTCTCACTGCGCCTGAGAAAGATTTTACGGCCATTCATCAGCTCGCGAGGCGCACAAATAGTCTTTAAAACTATAAACACCATCGCTGGGTCGGAGACAGGGGGACCCATTTACCCCGTGGCTGTGCTAAACGCTGAAGATAAAACAAACGATAATACTGTCTGTCTCCTGTGACCGTCTCCACAGGCATTAATAGGTTTAGTGCCAACCGTGCGGAGGGAAACACATGCGTCATTACGCACAGTCGTCTCCATTTTACTGCTGCCCAGAGAAATGATTTGTTCTTTGTCACTAACCTATAAATTACTGATTGTATGCTTAATTGCTTAATCGTTTACCTTTGCTAGAGAATGCACACCTGGGGGTGATGGGAGTGTCTTTCTCATTGGGATTTAAAGCTTGTCTTGGAATTGGACAAAAGCTGTCCATAGAAACTGCAAAAATAAAAGCTTAAAGGCAATTTTTATTGGTTAAAACTCGGGTGTCACATATGACACATCTTTAGGATAACCTGGCCTGCAGCGTGGGTGGGAGTGAGTGTGTGTGCAGGTTTGTTGTCATCTGTTATCACGTCCTGATAACGCAGACAGTGGCTCCAGAATCTCTTGGAGGCAGACAACAGAGTGTGTCGTATGCTGGTTTCAGGTTCCGTGTTTAGGGGCCCAACTTGTTGTCTGCTGCTCCCCTCTTTCTTGAGGGGAGCAGCTTGTTTGGTCCGTTTCCCGTCGGATGATGAGGGCCGGGTCGACACCCCAAACACACGCACACGCACGTTCAGGCCGATCAGTTATCAGCTAATTCCTATCTATAACCTAAATAATGCAAGTTTAAACTCTTTAGTCGTTATTATACACTTTCGATGTTCCAGATAGTTGAATTAATGGATTTCTCGTGGTACTTGAAGACACATGTAAACATCCGTCCAAACGCTGCGCTTGTAGGATGAACTGCAAAAGCGTTTGCATTGTGCGTAATGACTCCAATACTGACCCAAATCTACCCATCTAACAACTCATTTATTTAGTTTGACATAATTTATTAACTTTATAAATCCAGGCTATCCAGAGGAGGTTGTATGTTTCCACCAGGATGAAGAATATGACTGATTGAAGACCTTTTTTCTAACAATTTCACTTTGTTTTCGAAAGAGAAGAATCAGCTCTGGTGTGATGTGGGGTATTTTTTGCAGTGGTTGAACACACACACATATTGGCCTATAAGTAACATCAGTCCTTGCATGTACCAGACATCACTTTACGTCATAAAATGGGAGTACCGGTGGCTCCATACAGAGGGTCCCACTGGCTCTCTCCCTCCCTCCTCCCTGCGTCAACGTAGGAGAGAGGGGAGGCCAAGAAAAAGTTTGGAGACAGGGTTGACATTCAAAATGCACACTTCACTCAAGATCAGTCTGCTATACCAAACTAATACTTAAATCCAGTAAATATTACCAGGAAGGAGAGAGAGTTTGTTGACGTCTTTTTTCTTGCCTCCATATGACAGGTTAATAAGTTTACTTTTGGAGTTCTTGGCAATGTTTCCCAGCCCCAGCACGTCCACTCCCTTCTCTGTAAAGGATATATTAAACTTGGAGCAGAGTCATGACGTTATGGTGTCTTCCCTGGACGTCTCTTCTCGTATGGACTGCTGCACCGTGCCGACCTCTTCCTCCTCTTCCTCATCCTGCATGCTGGCCCGCCTGAAGCAGGAGCCTCTCCGGGACATGTCGTCCGCCGCCTCGCTGTTTGGAGAAGACTTTCACGAGCCCAGAGCCGGCAGAGGCAGTGCGCTCAACTTTGCCAGTACCTTTTATGGGAAATCACTCATGGAGATGGATTTAGTTAAGGATGGGACATCAGACGCGTTTGAGGGGAAACGTAGAAAAGGTGAGTTGGTGAGAGGACGAGAGGTTGTCTTGTAGGCCTGCGCGAAGTTAGGCCCGCAGGCTCTTGTAGTTTGAGTTGTGCAAAAACGCAACATATGCTCCAAAATAAACCAGAATGAATAAGCATTAATATAGATAAAACACTTTTATACGGAATTTAGAAAATTAAACAAAGTTTTAAGTTGATGGTCAGTATTTTCTTGTAGGCCTGCTAGACTACTTTTTAAGATTTATGAAATTTAGGGGAATGAATGCATCATGGGTGGCGAGAGGAATTGAATGAACCTTGGGAGAACTGCACAAGCAAATTAAATATACTACAGAATATAATACAACATAAAATCTATATATCTATTATTAGTATTTGTATTATTAATGTTGCCAGTAGTAAAATACCTCTAATGATTAACCTTGCCTTCTGTTAAGAATACATTTGCATATATGTAGGCCTATGTAGCTATTTAATCCTCTTTTTTTCTGTCTGGTGTAATCAGAGGAGTTCAGTCCTCCGGCCGAGCCTGTGGAGGACATAAAACCCGAAGACCTGGACCGACCAAAGCCCCGGAGACGCAGGAAGCCGCGGGTCCTCTTCTCCCAGGCACAGGTGTACGAGCTGGAGCGCCGCTTCAAGCAGCAGAGGTACCTGTCCGCCCCGGAGAGAGACCACCTGGCCGGCGTGCTCAAACTCACCCCGACCCAGGTGAAGATCTGGTTCCAGAACCACCGCTACAAGATGAAGAGAGGACGGGGAGAAGGAGTGCTGCAGGACTTAGAGAT